AAAGACCCTGTCTCTCTTCTGTGTTGCCCAGATGACAGAAAAGCTAAAACCACTCAGTGTGAGTACAGATATGCCTGTGCCACCAAGGTGTATTTTTCAAGATGCTTCTTTGGGAAGGTCGTGCCTCTCTGGACAACTGCCCACTGTAACACTGAGGGAGCTGGTGGAAGAGCTCACCAAGCCAATGTCAATAATTTATAGAAGTCCTGGATAACTGGGGAGGTCCCAGGTGACAGGAAGCTAGCAAATATGACAACTATCTACAAGGGCTGGAAGGAAGACCCTGGAAACTACAGGCCTGTAACCCTAATGGCTCTCCCCACACCAGCCATGGGGGCCTGCACTGCGTGCAACGTCAAGGCTGAGAACATCATCCTTGACCTGGCCACCAGTGAGGTGAAGCTAACCACCTTCAGTGGCAGCACAAATCTAAAGGACATGCTATGCACTTAGTTTTCAGGTGAGCCCACACTAAGGCCTGGTTGGGCACAAAAGGGCAGCCTTTGCTGGGGTGGGAATAATTCTTCAAGTTGCTTTTTTTATGGAGGGTGGGTGAGGATGGATTTTGTAGAATGGGAGCCAGCTGGGACTGATGTGGGGGGAACCAGCCCAACAAAAACAATCTGTGGAGGGTAGCAAAGGCATGTTTGCAAAACCTTTTTGCTGGCAACTTTCATTTGCAGGCATGGAAGGGCTTGTGATGCCCTACCCTGCTCTTCTGCCTTGGCCTATAATTTTTTTTCTTGATCAGTGCAGGAGTGGGGGCAGATAAAAGGCAGTGTTTTCCCTCCTCCTGCATGGGCATTTTCCTTGCATAAGGTTGGGCCTTCTTGGGGCTCACTCTGCCCTCTTTCAGAATCAGGGGCTTTCTTTTACAACCTAAAGTTTGTCAACAAGAGTCAGGTGCTGGCAAGAAGGCAGCAGAACACACTGCACTGCGTTCCACCAGTGCAGTCCCCACATCCTCAGGGATGCCACGCAAGGGCAGTGTGCACCTGATGAGTTCCATCTGTATGTCACAGGAAAGCAGGTGTACAACATGCCTGAGGGGAGGATAATCTTCCTCTGCTACCATGGACATCCAGTGATGATCTGGTCCCTGGGCATTCTGCTCTGTGACATGATCTGCACGTTCCATCACTTAAACAGAGATGAGGACATTATTCTGGGCCATTATCTTCTTCCTGCCATGGTGTCTTGAGCTGGTACCTGGTTTGCATCACAGAAGGAATAACAGTGTTGGGAGATTACAGGTGGTATACGAGCATCCTGTTCTTACACCTACAGAGGAGACTGATTTCCTATGGTTAGGTGGAGGAGCTGGCACACATCCTACCATCCTGCTCTCCAAAACAGAGATTGGAAGGATTGGGCACAGTCTGGACACTGCAAACCCTTGAAAAGAGGGGACCATTGTCCAGCAGCTTTTTGACTGCTCTCCCCAGAGTGCCAGCACCTTGCCAAATGGTGCTAGGACAGGCCATCATTGGAAGACCTTATCAACCCTTCTTGGCTGCAGGACATTCACCTACTCCAAGAGATGCCAAAGATCCATCCCTCTGCACAGTAGGATTCAGCAAGTAACAGCTCTACACATCTCATGGCATTAAGAAGCCAAAAAAATCACTCTTTTTCTGCAAGTGTAGCACAGAGTAGGGATCACAGCTGATGAGATACTTCTGCTAGTCCTGGGGAAAGTTGCAGAAGTGGCTAAGCACTCTCCATGGTACTTGAGAATGGCAGTCCAGTGAAGTTTCCATGGACCAGAAAAGGGGAAGCATCCCCACTGCAGATCCCTGACTTCATGGTCTTCCTGCAACCTGGCATTTTGTGGTACAACCATCCTTGGCTTGACCACCAGCAGGGCAAAGCTGATTGACTGTGGTTGCAGCACCTTCCTTGAGGACAGTCTACACCCAGTTAAAATCAAAGTCGAGTCTACACCTAGTGAGAGGGGGAATGCTCCTGGTCCCAGGCATTGCATAGTCCAGCCTGGCTGGGCACTGGAGGTTCCCTGCTTTGCTGTGGTGCAGCAGGATTAATTTTTCAGCCAGTTGCTAGGGTGTTTTTTTGCAGGGGAGGGCATGAGTGTTGTGAAAGGGGAGCTAGTTCCTAGCCTTGCTGACAGCTTTCACCACTGACCCTGTCATGGGCTGGCAGAAGCCTGACAAAAACCTCTACCCCTGGGGGTAGCAGAGGCAGGAGTTCTGAATCCATGCACCAGCAGGTTTGCTTTGCAGGCCCTTGTGGAGGGGCTGGGAAAGGCAAAATTTTTTCCCTGCCTGTGGGGAGGTTTATTCTGTGAAGATAATGGTTCAGTCTTCCTCAGGCCTGTGACACAGTGATAACATTTTACCTTGCAAGTGTTCCAGGTTTTTTGCTTTAATTTACTTTCATGCATTTGTTATTTGTTTTCTGAAGGAAGATTCTAGCTGGTGCCTGGACTGCACAGGGAAGTGTTGTGACTGTCTGCAGAATGGATTCACTGCCAGTGCCATCCTGGCAGGTACACCTCCTTCAAGACAGATGAGGACAGCATTTGGGATCAGCTTCTCTTCCAGCAGCAGGTCTCTTAAGGTGGGTACCTGGCCTCACTGCATGGGTAGCATAGTGGGTAGTAGAAGACAGCAATGGGTACACATGCTTCCCCTCACACTTGCAGGTGTGAGGAGGTTGATCTCCGGGTTAACTGGAGAAGGTGTCACTAGTCCTGCCATCCTGTTCTCTTTTAGAATGGAGAACTGATTGGTAGGTTTGGGTGCCGTTCTGAGCACGGCCACTAACATGGCTGGGCACTACAAATGGGGCCTTCTCCAACTGACAATTTTCTGGTTTCTCTCCCCAAAGACCAGTACCTCATCACAGCAAGACAGCATCACTGAGCTTATCAGTTTGGTGGTGGCAATGTTTATTTGCTGTCAAAAATAAATTTTTTTGTAAGCAGAGTATTTCTTTCATCCTTTTCCAAGCTTTTTATCTCCTTCCTCTAGGATAATTTTTTGTGTCCTTTACACACAAAAAATTGTGCCTTTATTGGAATTGGATGGGGGTTAAGCAACCAAAAATTATTTATTTTTTTAATTTTTAAGCATCAAAAACTGAAGCAACAGCTGCTGTTGTTTCAAACTGGAGAGGCTACTTCACTGCCCGTAACTGCCACTCAAGCACATACCTTTCTGGTGCTGCTGTCTGTTCCCTAATAACACACTCACCAAATCTTTCACCCAGCCCTAAGAGCCCTCCACAGACCAAACAAAACCACATAAATTTGAGGGAAGGATAAACCATGCTGGGTGTTAAAAAAAGATGCCCTCAATAAAACAAAAAATGGTATTATGCAATGTTAGTTATCTTTATGCCTACCTTGTACTAACTTGATGCCTTTTTGTGACCAGTAATTTGGTACAACCCTACATCCAAGAGCCACTAAAAATTGTCCCTGTTGCCTTGCAACCACCAATAAAATTACCTGAGTAATATAATTAAACACAACCTACCCTTTTTTCCTCAACCACACCCTTGACCAAATATAGTAACTTCTTCCATAAGCTTTTCAAATTACACCTAATGACTGTATTTTATTTGGCAAACAAGCAATGTGTGGTCTTTAGCAATACTGGTACCATCATATTCTATTCATTTGCTCATCACAGATACACGGTTCTCCAGTTCTGATTAAATAAATTGTGCTTTGGTAAAAAGAAATTTTAAAAAGCTTTCCATATTGCTATCCAATTGTCACTCATAATTATTTACAATTTTTTTTCATGCCTATACTGTATCAAGACAAAATAACAATGCCTTTTTTTTCCTCCCTTCTTATTGCTTTTCCTGGTACCTCCCAGGAAACTTGGGACTCTTGTTCTCGATATTTTGTTGAATTTGTTTTAATTTTCTGGTAGCAAGAACTTGGGAATCTCTTCAATTAATATGCCCATGCTAACAGAACTGTTAATAACTTTTCTTTAAAAAAAACTACTAGAAATCTTGATTTTAAGAAAGGATGTACTGATCCTTTACCTCTACCCCAGAAGAAGTTCTTATCTGACTCTCACAATTTCATATTGAAGCTGCAGTTTTCCCTGTGCCATAAGATGTCCAGCTTCAATGGGGTGGTTTACAGGAAGTGAATGAAAAGTGAATGAACCAAATAAGGTTTTAGCTGAAAATCTTCATAGTATCCATTTATCTTCAAAATACCTATGATTAAGAACTAATCAAGAGTTAAGAGTTTCTACTGAATAAGTACACAACAAAAAGGAAAGAGTTAACAGCACAGATAATGATTTATGTGATCACCAAAGTGTATCTCCTATTTAATAAACAGGCCTAAGTAGACCTGCTATTTACAAGGTATCTCAACAGGGAAGGAATTTTATTTTCCATGTCCAAGAGACATCCAGAGACAAAAAGCTTTAGTTTTGAATTGTCAAGATGGCTGTTCTTTGAAAACTGCTCTGGTGAAGCAGGGGTACTAGCTCAGGATTGCAAAGATCCTAAAACCTGTCTTGCTTTGAGAAATACTCCCAGAAGAGTAGCAATTTCAAAGCAGAAAATACCTGCTACAAGTCCAAAATAATGATTCGTCTCAGACCAAGGCTCCTTCTGGCCTCATGAAAAGTTCAACACGGGGGCAGTGCGACTTCAAACACTTCAGAATTCCCACTGCAAGTACTACTGATGTCCTACTTGTGATACGCCAGCTCAAAGAGTCAAAGTTCTTAACAGTATTCACTGTCTACAGGGAGTATGCCACAGACAAAAAACCACACCATTCCAGAAAATACCTTCTTCCTTGTGCAGCTCCTCTGCTCCATGGCAGTACTGTCAAACAGTAGTAACTAGTAACTAGTTTAAGAAAAAAAAAATTCAAACTCACTCTTTCAAAGGCAGAAAGATACTTGTTAAGAATATGAAGATCAGATCTTACTATTCCACAGATTTTGCTCTGTCCTGTTAGCATCTCCATATTCAAAAGAAAACACAAAACATCCAGTTTTGGTCAGTAAAGTGTCCATTTTAATAAACTCCTTAGCCACATTTCTCACCCCCTTCTTCCCCACCATAAAATTTCAATTCACACTTAAGCAGATGACACAATTTGATGGCGTACAACCTCAGTTTTTAAATTTCTGCTCTTAATGCTAAGAGTATCAGGGGCTAGTATTTGCCAAAATTACATAGAAGTCAGATGTGCCCATGCAAAAGAAGCCGATCTTTATATACAGTCCCTATTTTTTCTTATAAATTTAAATATTTTAAAAAATGTATTTTCAAAATGTATAAAGTTTAGGGAATACCCCAAATGTATCTTAAAATAAAATGCTTTCTGGTTCCAAAGGTTATTTCAAAAATGAAGACCAAATTGCACCCGATAAAAGGCACTTGTGCTGTGTGATGTCTTAGGCAAGTATATGTTAGTTTCATAACAGTGTCTTGAATTCATGCAGCTGTCTCTGAGCATCAAGCCTCATTAAAGCAGCCAAAAGAGATCGTGAGTAAACTTGATTCCACAGTTGTAAAAACACAGAGCATTGTGCACTGTCTTTGCCTCTAGAATCAAACACTACTGAAAAACTGCTGTCATTCGCATGGGAATTCAAACTACATTTCATTCTCTCATAAATTACAAAAAAGTATGTCATTTAATTATGAAACTAAACCACCAGTGAACAGCTCAGTGTTCAAATAGTTTGTGCCACTGAAAGTCTGTATTTATAAACAAGCTAGGGACTAGTTATTCAAAGAGCAGTGCATTGTATTTTCAATTTCCATTTCACTGTTGAGATAAAAGCGCAGTCCTATTTGCCTTCATCTTCTCCAGCCTTTTCATTAAATGGCTATTGGTCATCTCCATTTCTTCTACCTTATCCAGTGCTGTTCTTAACTATAAAATGAAAAAAAGTTATTATCAGTTTAGTTTATTTGGACTTTGTGCTGTTCTCAAGCTGGATAAGAGGAATAAAAGTATTATGTTTTGTAGGAGTACCACAGAAGTTAAGATATAACTTCCATTATTGCAGGCAGATGAAACAGAATTAAACTGTTAAAAACAATTATGAAGCAACTGAAACATGAAGCGTATTCATTCTAAAAGAATTAGGTGCCTGTAACCTCCCATTACATTAAAGCAATTTACCTAGAACAAGGTAAACTAATCTCCACCATTATTACTTGCATACAGATACGTATTCCCATCACAGGTAGCAGCCATCATGCTAGTGATGCAGCATCTCTTAAGCAAGACTGATCAAGAGCACAGTTAAATGCAGCTTCTTCCCAGAATCCTGTGAGATCCAAGCTGGAAAATTCCCAGGCTGTCACTTGACATAGGGACCATTCATCTCTCTGGCAATACTTTGTAGGACTACTTTAAAATATTACAAGTTATCACATTTCGAAAAAAAACCCCACTTAGATGATTCCTTTCAAGGAAGTACAGCATTGAATCGTAGTTAGCATTACTTTAACGTGCTAGATGTCTTCTGAATGTCATACTGAGACTTGAAGGTCATATTAAAAAACAATTAAAAGATGTATTCAAAGATTACAAAAAAACAAGAGCTTGGAGGTAAAAGACAGCAGCTTAAGACAGAAAGGAACATACAGCTGGAAAGGAAACCAACTCAGTTACCTCTCGCTGAAGCTTCCTTTTTTCAGCTTTGAGTTCATCTTCTACTTTTTCTGCATTTTCTGCTGCATTTTTATACCTTGCAACCTGTCCCTCAAGTCGTCCAATCTGTAAACCCAAACAAGACAAAAGCAACATACTCAGGTGTTCCACCTGGAGTTCACCTGCCATCAGCTGCTCTTCCAAGGACACAGCTGAGAAGACACAGAAGGTTTAAGAACTAGGCAGAGAGAGAAGAACTGGAATACAAAAACTCAAGACTTGGGAAACACATGGGATTAAAAATGGAAGTGGAAAACTGAAAAGCAGAAACTGTATGAAAAGATGCAAAGTAGAAAGCAGACTGTGAACTGTTATCAGGACATGATGAAAGAGGTCTTGAGCCCAAGCACAGAGTTCAGCAGTAAGGAGAGGACTTGAGACAAATCCTGATTGCAACGTGCAGATGCTAAAACCCACTGGCTGGATTGTTCTATGTACAGCTCCCTGCTACCCCTAAATCCACATGATAGGCTACTAGACTGAATCTGTGCAAAAGAGAAAAGATACACATCTGTGATTTAAATTACAACCTTTCATTTAATTTTTTAGGTAATAAGCTGTAATTAAGTTCCTAAAATACAAAAGTATGGCAGATTATAAAGAACTGAAGCTACTAGTTCAAGAAAACCAATTCATGTAACTTAATGACTCATAAGGAAGTTGTACTGTGGATGGTACAAAATTTACTCTCTACAGTTACACATCTACAAAAACAATCACACTTTGTAAGTCAATAACATGGTTTTATAGCTCAGCACTCTTAAGATTTTCTCTTATGGTTAAGGCTGTGCACAGGTATTTAATTGTAGGAAATATGAAAAAATTTGGTGTCATTCTATGTAAACTAAATACCAAACAGTAAATCAAATTATGAAATATGCTTTCATAGTTTTTGTTGAAAAAAGTATTGCAAAAGTGTGCAATGTAATAACAAACATGAAAAAAGGCACTTACATTTTGTTCCAAAGTAGTTATATCTTGTTCAGCTTTTGAAAGCTTGAATTTGTATTCACTAATTTGTCTGTTGGCATCTCCTAGACAAAAATTGACATGAATATGTTAGTCAAAGCAACTCTCTTAAGTAGCAGTTCCCCTTTTAATTAAAATTAATTAAAAAGACCATTTTACTGAGAAGCCCATACCCAAGATCACAAAGAGGTAAATGTTCTTTCAGCAATCTAAAAGAGTATGGAAAGGAAATAATTTTCTTTTATTTAGAGAAAACAGCTACAGTCTCTATAAAGTGTGCATTAAATCTCAGGCGCACAAATGAGATACACACCTTTTAAAACACGTTTAGATCAGCAAACTAATTGCTTAGAGATCAACATAATAATCAACACACACTGCACAATGTCAGACCACAATAAGCATTGAGCAGCATTCAGCTTAAACATCTGTAATAATACTTGAATAAGGAGCACAAGGCTTGAACCTGACTGACAAACTCTAAGGAACTTTGCAAATTATTTTGGTGTTACATTTGAGCCCTCACATTGCCAGTGCTTTGTTTATGTTCATTAACACAAGCATACTAAATGACAGTCTGTCTAACAAGTTTTCAGCTGCATAGCTTGCTTGAAATGAAAAGCATCTTATGCTTCTATGAAGCAACACTAAATATTAAGGTAAATAAATTTTTATGTTTTGATTCAGAACAGAAGTCTTCTAGATTAGGTTTCTATATCAAAGATTGATTGAACAAAATCATCCCATAGAATATATATTTTAAAAAATCTTATCTGAAATTCTATTGTTTAAAAATTATATCCAAGTAGTGGCACCCACTCTAGGCAAGGTTATCAACTGAAAAATAACGAGAATGTTGTTCTTCAACACTGAAAGAGGGAGATTTTTAAGGTACTCTGCACTGAGAATTCCATGCAAGGAATGGAATATATATATATATATTCATATATACCAACAAAAAACCTATCTGCTCAACAATATAGTCACTCACAATACAACTAGTGCACAGCAAGAGTAGTTGGAAGTCCTGTCTGCAAGAATAACTTTGAACAGTAACCATACACCTACTTTGCATTTCGATTAGCTGCAAGTCAGAGCCATTCTCCAAATCTATTGTATCTGGATTCATACTATCACTTTTAGAGTATTTCTGTCGTTCTTCTTCTAACTGCATCTTGAGTTTTCTAACCTGAAAAAGGAAGTGTTTCGTTATGAAAAAAAAAGACTCCCAGAAGCCAGAAGTTCAGTAGCTGAGTATGTAAATGTTCAATGGTAAAAAGGCATCTCATCTACTGAGATGCCACTGGCTGAGAAGGTTCTGTAAACAAGAATTGCAGAGTGATGCAGGGGAGTCAGTCCCTGAGGTTTGTGGCTGTAGACACCCATTCCCATCACTGGGCAAGTGCCCTCTGCATGTCAATGTACAACTCAAACCCACCAGTTTGGTCAGTACTGCAGGGATATCTGTACAGTGCAGGAGCACCTTATAATTAACACAGCTCACTTTTTTCAGCAGAGGAGATGGCATTAAACTCCATTTATGGATTTCTTCTACTGTGTATGTTTCCCACTCCAAACACACACGAAGATATTGACCACTATCCTAGTGAATTTACAGACAATAATCCATGGCTTTTTTAGGGTGTCCTTTCTCATACTTCACCTGGAAACAATAGTCCTAGGCCAGCCTGTAGTGCACATTAGTATTTAATAGTTCCATTTCATGCTACAGCAGCTGTCTCTCAGTTTTTCCAATAGTCAGAGAACATAGATTTCTCAGCTATGTGCCCTGTGTATGCACATTATGAAAGAAGTAGGGGCTACTTTTTGGACACTCTTATTAAAATATTGTTCTGCAGATTAGCAGTATGTGAGTTAACTTGCAAACTCTCCATTCATGATACAAATCAAATATATGATCAGTGGTTTTTAAATTATACAGTGATAAATGTGTGCTTACATATTTTTATATATTCAATACTATAATTTACTGGCAGTCCAAAAAAGTATCTGTACTATAATTAAGGTTCATTCACAGCAAACCCAAACGTTGACAACAATGCTTTAAATTTGCAATGTCTTCAACTAAAAGGACAAAAACTGTAGAATTCTTAACAACTGCTCAATGCCTATATGTTTGCTTGAGTCCTTCTCAAAACAAAGCTGTATTTAAACACTATTATTTTTAATATTAATTTTCTCTCTGAGTTACCAAAATGATCAATGAAATAGTATCACTCAGCAATTTTGAAGAAAATGCAACTTGAGCTTATGAGAGTGTAGTTGTACTGACTTTAATATTTATGCATAAGACAGTTACGCAGATAAAAGAAAAGAAAATAAAAGAAAGAGCTTTAAGGATATGCACTAATAGTAAAGTCAGGAACAAGTTAAATTTCAGTTAACCAGCTACTGAAATGAAGTTTCTTTACCAACCAAGATCAAAGTCCCATGGATAAGAACAATAGCAAGAGGAACTGCTAATTCCAGATAGTCACTGAGGTGAAAACTTTAATATTTCATTTTGCTTTAGTGCTTACGTATCTGATTAAGCACTTTTGTGCTTAACATTTGTTTATTGCATATATATGCTATACATATATATATAGCAAATACATATATACATATACATATATATATATAGTCTGCAAAATGATACACAAAGGTGAACTTATTTTACCTGGGACAGTAATTCCTCCTTTTCTCCAGCCAGTTTTCGTAGCCTGATATCTAAAACCAAAGAACCGAATTAAAAATCAGAGAAATCTGTAACTAAGGATATGTTTTTCATAAATTTTTTTTCCATTCCAAATGAAATGCTCATCAAAGCTAATAGCAACTAGGACAACTTTGATATCTCACTAATAACACAACAACCTTCAGTTAATAGCAGAAAAAAGGGAAAAATACTTTATTCACACTGTTTATTAGTATAACAATTCTAAAAACAAGACCTCAGAGTTTATCAAAAGAGCAAAAGAGTTTAGCAAATATCTCTACTTAGTCAAAAGATCAGTAATGACTACAAGCCATTACTACAGTCAAGCAACACTGTGCTAAGACTAGAGCAGCTCCCTTAGAAATTGTAACTTTGACAGAAATGAAGCATAGTAATATTTGTATTTCCCTGTGAGGGAGCCACAGCAGAAGTATGTATCAAGTGTAATTTATGTCAATACAAAAATATGTAGTATAATTCAATTATATAGAGATTCAATATATATATAATTGTACAAGTATAATTCAATTATATAGAGATTATTTTTCTACATGTTAATAGAGTTTTACAGTGGGTTGAACATGCATACAATAACTTGCTCAACTTAAAGATAAAAGCAAGTTAAAATGACTTAACCCCAAAACCCCCAATTAGTGTGCCTGTTGTCTCTGTCATTTTTTGAATGCTTTTAAAACTTCTTTTTCTAATGAATGTGATGGAAGACTGCACTTGATGTACTTTCATTGATTACGTATACTTCTAAAGAATTATTTTCATGAAACACAATGGAAAATATAGTAATCCAAATGACGCTTTAAAGCAAGATGTTTTCCGTCAGTATTAAAACAGGAACTGGACCAAGAGAACTAATCAGTTTCAAACATCTAAGCACATATTATTTTTTCTTACTCAAAAGACACATCTGACTACATGACTACTCAGAACAAACAAAAAATTAAAATCAGTTCTGAAAGCTGTGTAAGCACATATTCCAGAAGCATCACAGGTGCTTGCATACGCAAATATAAGTCACACCCACTGTGAATGAGAGGAAACAAAGCCTATATAAAAAACTCTATAAAGTGTGCTAGGATACTTTTACCTAGTGGTCCTTCTCCTGCAGATTCCAAGACCTGAGCAGCTTCTTGTGATACAACTGTTATTGTACCAACCACTGATTCATGGTTTAGATCACCATTTGGTGTGCCATCTGGAATTATAACTAATCCATGTTTCTAAAAAAAACAAAACAAAAAATAAACTAGTCATACTACAGAAGTGCTAAAATAAAAATCAACAGGTAAGTTTTTAAAGAGCTTTTCAAATTCATTGAAACAATTACAATGATATGGACCATTTGTCCTACCCTAAGGTCAGGTTTTCAGAGTGCACAAGAATTCTTCCTCCTTTTTATTGACGTTGATGTCATGTACCATTCCTGGATTTGTTACTGTAAAGTAACTACTACCAACATACCTGTCCTCTCTTCATTGTTTCCTTCAGGTCAGCCAACTCCTCTCTGAGCTCATCTCGCTCATTCTTAATGCAGTCAAAGTAATCTTTCTGTCTTTCTAGGGCCTGGACTCAGGCAGATAGCAAGAAAAAGAATGGCACAGAGAAAAAGCATATGACAGCAGAAAGATTTTCTACAAGTAAATACAAATAGCTCAATACAGGTAAAGAAATTAAAAGTGCTTTTTAAATATGTAGTAATATACATCTCAGATAACTGCCTTCTACAAGTTGCATATCTAACTTCATGTTGCACTTGTTTTTACTTTTTTCTTAGATTTTTTGAGAGTTTTTTTTTTTTTTTTTTTTTATCCAGCGAATTCTATTTTTTAGGAAATTTTGATAAACTAAATTGAGTACCAAAAGAGTAAGTGATTCTTCTCATACAGGCACTCTGCGGCAAGAAATAAAATTTGCTGAAATGCAAATGGCAAAGATCCTAAAACAGTACATCTATTGAACTAATTTCTCTGCCTTTTATATGGTACAGAAGTAGAAATCATACATCATGGAAGACCTTGAATGTATCCACTCATGAATACTAGTTTATTTACTAGTTGCTTAAGGGTAACAACACTGTTTATTAAACCAAAAGCAGTTAGTTTTAGAGAGAAACAAAAAAGCAACAAACACTAGTAGCACTATTTTAGCACAAAGAAGTACAGCAGCTAGAAGTGCAACATGGGTGTAGATAGGTTTGCCTAGCTAAGCTGGAGAGGTTACCTGGCAGTTAGTTGGACACTTCTACTTGACTGGGCAGCATACAATACTGCATGCATTAAAAATAATCCTCACCATACAGCAAGTGCCAAAGTATACACACATTTTGGCCAAGAAAATAATCCAACTAAACCTCATCCTATACATGAATGTGTAGGAATGGACTGTTACCATGAAAGAAATGAAGGTGTATACATTTGTACTGTACTTGCCTCATGTAACTTCAATATACTGAATTTTAATAATTATCTAGAATCTGTATACTAGAGCAATATTCTAAAGCATTACTCAGTTTCAACAGAAAATTCTGTCAAGTGCTGTTACACTTGATTTAATCATATGTAAATGTAACATATAAAATAAAGGCAATTCAACATGTGTGAAAACAGTAGCTGACATATTAATTTAAAAATCTGTAAATATCCTTTTATTTCCCAGCACACACTAGATCTCTAACTACTTTACAAATAGCATGAAGAACCTTAATCATTACATAATTTTGTGCTCTACTTAAAAGACACATGCATCTTTTTAATTTTTGAAGAACAGTGGAAGAGATGGAAGGGGAAGTAAGCTCACCACTTGAGAGAATGGACACAATGGCCCAGAATCACAGACACAGATTGTGTGTACTTGACAGTGACCTGTGATGATGTTGACCTTCCCCAAACATATTTTCTATCCTTACCCCCTAATAATACAAGTGTTGGAAATCAGAAAATTCTGATGGGGGAGGAAGTGCAACTGATACTACTATGTATTTCTACCTATGTAGATCTAAGTAATCGTTATTCAAAACTAGTAACATTCCTAGTGTTCGTACACTCAAGGTTTAATTTAATATGACATGGATTTTGCACAAAATCTACCTCTGCAATTCTTCTTTTGGGGCAGAAAACAGAAATCAGGACAACAAAGTCCTGCAGACAGATTTTACCATACTTATATGAGCAAAATCTGATAATATGCCAGAATCCAGAGACATTTGGAATCCTTTTTTCTAAATATTCCAAAAGCCTTCATAACTTTTATACCAAACTCAAGAGTTGCCATTACTAAATGACAATTTGGAGCTACTAAACAGTAGAATAACTGTGTATTTCAGGAATATAACACAACGCTGTAACTCAGTGTCCTCAAACTGATCTAATTTAAGATCAAATATAACCACAAATTTCAAGCACTGTAGAAACAGGACAACATATGAAGGCAGGTGTAAAACAAACTTGTGCTATTTTGTTCTGCTTGCCTCCCTTTCTTTTTCTGAAACGGCTAAAATGTCTTATATACATTGTAAAATTTGGTTACAATTTTAGTTATAAACTACACTGTGAAGCTTCGCAGTGACATCTAAAGCTGGAGTAGCATAAAAATTAGCAGTAGGAGGGAGAAAGGTTCAAAAACTGTGAGCTAAGAAAAGTATGTAAATATTTAGAGATATCAGAAAGAAAAGAGAATCATTTTTACATTTTCTTCTCTAAGAGAGTTCAATTCTGAGAATTGAACTAAGTAGAAAAATAACCAGTTATGGTGTTTACAAGAAGACAAACTGGCAGGGCAATTTTGGCTAAAGTAAAATATGTCTATCTTTTTGTCATTCTGGCTGGCAGATATATTTGAATATTGGATAAACTCATACTGATTCTGGCAATGTATTTGAAAAAGCACAAAAATATTGCACAAATTGAGACAGTCCAATATACAAATGTGAGAAATAAGTATGGAAAGGATAGGGTAAATTAAAGATAAAAAGCCTTCAGAAGAATGTGCAGAAAACTCTAGAATGTTGAATTTTTTTATGATGGAAGAGAAAGACTGAAGCATGAAAAAAAGTAAGGATAGTTTTTGAACTGGCCACCACCAGTTAAAAGGCAGCTTTTCAAGGTCACTTGAACTCCAGCAAATAAAACAATTTTCGAAGAAATCTACATATATTGAAATACGGTATAAAGTTCAGGTAGAGAGAAATGACCCCTGAGCTGTCAAGAGGCAGACAATGCCTTTTTAAAGGCTTTCCAATTAACTCTCTATTGCCGCCAGGCAATCTACTTGTGTCCCAGAACAGCCACAAGTTCAGAGACATGTAGTCATCACCAATGACTCCTTTCTGGGACTTCTACCTGCCCAGAAGCAAAGCTGACAAACCGTGCCTGACCTACATTAGCTGCATAGTATCAGCACAGTTCTTTCTGTACCACTCTCCTTCCTACATAGGAACCTTATGGATGCTCCTCAAAAGGTCACCCACAACCATTGTTTCAACTACGATTCTCAATACCCAAAGTATTTAATGTGTCATATCAGAAAACCAGCTTGGTTCAGTGTTGCATCCAAGCTAACCAATTACACAAAGATCAGAAGTGCAATTCACTTGCAGGAATGTGCAAGTTGGTTGTAGAAGTCAATTCAAGATCATATCTTTTACCACTAGGCATGCCATCAAAAATTTTGCAAAAAAATTGTAAATTTGTATGTGTAATAGTTCATGTTACAAATTTAATTAGTACTACTTATCATTATTCAAGTTAAGTGTGTCCCATTTTCTGAAGAAGAGAAAGACTGCAAAACATTTTATTCATATAAGTTGGGAGTGGCCTTAAGTTCTTTGAAGTACACAGAATTCCTTGGGGTGTAGAGGGCATCCATCTACTTCTAAATTTAAAAAATAGCTTTCCTTCCATATTTCATTCATACCCCTATTTTTTTATCTTTCCAATTAACTGTCTCCTGGAGATCAAATACTTCTTTGGTTATGAAGTCTATATTCTCCTGCATACGTTGATTCACCTGTGGTAAATAGGATGAGGGAAGAATAAAAGAGGAAAGAGAAGTAAGGAAATGGGAAAAAAAATCCAAACATTAAAATAGATAAAGGAAACTAAGTAATAAAAGTCAACCAAAGAGTTTATGAGCATGAAATTACAGAAACAGTGTGCAGTTTAATGTAATATATTTCTCATTCATTCATGCAAGAGAATGGTCTTTTATCCTATTCAATCACTGTTGCTGGGAAAACTTACAGCAGCTAGAGTTACTTTTCTTTAGTGACTGTTCCCACTGCAGTATGTGGACCAAAACAATTTCCCTGCTATACTTTCCAGATACCTTCAAGTACCCTTTGGATCCGAATATTACTGTTAACAATTGGTTTGATTCATTTTTTACAAAATAAAATAATCTTGAAAGTATAAAGAAGGGAGTTTGAATCAAACATCCAGGAAGCAAAAGACAATTGCTGACTGCTTTCTGGTACTATATGAATACGTATCAAGTGTAGTCCTACTTTTTTAGCTGACTATCATTGCATTTTGTTCCTTCCCCTGAAAACATAATTAAATGCTTAGCTATGAAGATGACTTAAAAATTTTAAGACCTAGAGACAATTTTTTTCCTTCGTAAGAGTGAACTTGATTTTACATCTGGGAACAGAAGACAATGTCTTTCTGCAAAGAGCTACATGGCTTCAGCTAGATTTTCTGTTAGTGTTAATACATGGGGAAAAGACACAATAGGTGGTAAATACAAGTCAAACCTTCGAAGGGACTGAATGTATTTGTGACTATTTGACACATCCTATATTCTACCAAAGTAAAGACTCCAGAAAAATCTACTGCATAGTCTTAGTTCATATTCTCAAACCCCACCAAAACCCCAAACAAGAACATGCAAAGCTGTTCTTTAATTCTCAGTGCAGTCAAAGATAACAGAGCAAGCAACAGAGCCACGAAAGAAATTTTTAGGGCTTTTGCTTGTCAGCATTTATGCTAACTCAAAATGCTGATACTTAGGATAATCTTAATCCTTTTCTTCTGCTATTAAGTCATATCAACTCCAGTTCATGAAGCATAATACTTCTAAAACAAAACTGGGACTTTTCAGAAACCATTTTGAGTTACAGTACCTACCACCTAGAGAGGACAAGAATATAGTGAAGAAATAAAGGATCAATGAACTATTACACAGCTTTTGAAAATGACAGTAGGAGACTTTGGCCTATACTCTTAAAGATAATAAATTTTTACTGCAATGAAGACACAGTGGGAAAATTATGTAATAATTGGACTACAAGTTGCAACTAAAATAATTGGGAAATGGAGACCCATATACTGCTGACAATATACCTTCATATTTATATATATATATATATATATATATATCTTTATGGACCATTTTAAAATTAAGACTGATAATAACTCTAGGATTTCAGGGCAGGAGGGTTTGCTTCCAGAAACAAAAGGGAAAAGGGGAAAAAGAAGCAGGTGAGAGGGGGAAAGAACACACTGCACACCCAGCAACATGGTTGTGGCCAATAACATGCTGACCAGTATTGCTGTGTATTATTCTTGAATGGTAAGCAAACAAATATTCAGTATGGCAAATTTCAACTGTTGATACTCATAAAAATCTGAAATAAATGAAATAGAAACGTTTGGGAAAAGCAAAGAATAACATTTGGTATTATCCATGCATCAGAACTTTTAGCTATGGAAAATTATTTTGGCCACACAAATATTAATTCCGCCCTCACAACAAAGAAAAGATACTAGGAACATTCATGAGAGAACCACAATTTCTCACAAGAATTAAAGGCTTTGCAAGATGTAATACATTTGAAAACCTTGCAGAGACATTTTCAGCTTCATAAATTTAGGAGGAACAGCAGCTTAAATTCTACAAACTAAAACAAGATAAATTATTTCTTAATAATGCAAGATAATATTTAATCCTGTTTTGTGTATGATTTCCATTCAACTCTTACACCACATTTTGTTGCACAGGTTCTATCCTACACTCATATGAGCATACCTCTATCAATTCATCTCTCTGTCGAAGGCCCTCTTTAAGTTCATCCAGCTTATGCTGCAGAACACTGCAGGTGTGTTTCTGTCTTTCCAATTCCTGTATTAAATAAATCAATTATTTATATTTGAGTTATGTATGAAATTTCTGCATGGATTTGAGAAATTATACCTACCAAGCAGTTAAAAGACCACTGAAGGGGTCTAAATAAGTTTTCCAGACACTTACTACACAGAAGATTTTATTTAATAAACTGTAGAGAGAAAAAATGCCATAAAGACTTATGCCCAATATCAACAAGTAAAGCTACTCTGAGTATTTTCAACTATTCTTAATAAGTAGTCCAGGTTTCTGAACTTTATAATTAGAAAAAAAATACCTTCGACTTCTCTTCATTCTCCCTATAGAACTCTGCTATCTGTTCTTCTTTCTCCTCAATAACATCCTTTAAAGTATCCACTTGGTAAATCAAGTTGTTTTTCTCATTGTCTAGTTGGGCATTGGAAACCATAGCTTTCTTGTACTTCTCTTCAACTTCAGCTAGTGAATCCTACAGATAGCAGAAGAGTTCACATTAGTCTAACTTTTTGATGCATTGTTATAACGTTAAAATACCACCATAATGTTAAAGTATGAGACGTTAAACATTAAAATTAGGCAACCATTTTTGTTTCTGAAATATATTCTTTAGAGATACTAAGTAACAGTTTAGGTCCATTATTCAACTTTGGTCATACACAACAATGAAAAGTTTAAAAAAGCATGAAAAATACAAGATAACATTCCACTTGCATTTTCTACTCTGCCACATTCACAGCAACTCACAGGGATACAGTAGTAACATCACAGCTTCACATTCTAGTGAACACCACGTATCTATTAGGAATATCAGTGTTCTCAAGGCATACATGAGAAAAGAGTTCAGAATGAGGCAACAAATCTAACAGAAAGAATGTGGAGAATTAAATCAGTAAAAGAGACCACAAAAATAATTCCAAGAGTAGCTTTAACTTAATGCTCGCTGTTTAAGTAGCACCGTATGACCTTAGATTTAAATCTTTAAGACAGCCACATGATTCCAGTAAAAAGGATTCACTATTTAAACAGATATTTTATCTTTGGTTTACTTACTAATTTTTTTTTTTTAAAGCATGTAACTTGGTTCTCTGCCTAAAGGTGTACATGCCTTGCTATATAGCCCCTTAAACAAATCTCTCCCATTTACCATTTTATCTTGTTTTTAGTTATAGTTGGGGGTTTTTTTTGTCAGAGTTGTAACAAATATCAACCATTTAAATACTTAGGAAACTATCACTCCAGGCGCTTTTAAGCATGCCTTTATTTCAATATGCATTATATAGGGGTTGGGACTACATTATCTTTAAGGTCCATTCCAACTCCTTAACATTCTATGATTTAAAAATAACAAAAACTGATTTTCAGAGTCCTAATTTTAGAAGTGAAAAATAACTATTAAGCCAATCCCTGGACAAAGTAGATCTAAGCCCTACTACAAATGTCTCTGTGCATCATGTAATCTGTTCCTTGAAGGCATAAGTAGCATTATCTCAATTTTTAAATATTTGTATTTTGACAGTAGAAGCACTAGCACAGGAAGGGCATGAAGCTTGGGTTTCCAGAAAATAGAGCCCTACAACTAATATATTAAGAAGGTGGCAACAATCTAAGTTTTCTAAGAAAATACTTAAGATCAATATCTGCTAAACAGTAAAATTATGCAATCATTTTTGGTTTAGAATTATGGTCATGTCTTCTCTTTAGAAATACTAAGTCACAGTTCAATATTCTGTTATGAGAAAGTAAAAAAATTCCCTATCCCCAAACACTATTCCACGCACTATTCCGCACTGTAAATCTCCAGTTTGGGAAAGCTGTCCTTAGAGTATTTATTTTATCTTTTATAATTTTATCATAATCACATATAATTATTTCACTGAATTCTGGAAATATCTAGAGAAATAGAATTTTTTGAAACCCCAGAAAAAATAATTACAGATCAGAAGAGACAAAACAGTGTAAGTTGTGAAAATATAAGACAAGTACCATTATAGTCTAGGAAGTAGTAGCAAACAGCAAAGATGACTCAGGATAAGAAAAAGGAAAAAAAAAAAAATATATATATATATATATAAACATAAGTGTGTGCAAGTAATTCTGAAGATTAAAACCAGAGAAAGCATTTCTTTTTGTGATGCTGTAAATACAAATCTTGTAAAGATTGGCAAAACAAAATGCTAGATAGAGCTAGCAAACCTCAAGACTTTCAAAGAATAATCCAGTTTAGAGTTAAAAAAAGGTAATATTAGGATTATAATGAATGCTATAGTAATTTCACAGGGAGGTATGAAATGCAACAAAAAAACATGTGACTAGGAAAAAAGTCCAGTTTGATTATTTCTCTAAATGTGGTGACTGGGGTCATGTAGTAATTTAGTTCAGCAGAGATCTCAGAATGCCAGCTGGTCCAATCTCCTAACTGAAGAGGGTCAACTGATGTTGTATCATGCTTTTGTTTTATCAGTAGGTCTATGGTTTGATTTGTGATTTAGTGTTTTTCCTTGGTGCTGTTTTTTCTTTTGTCCCCACCCTTTTCCCAGAAATGTCATCGGCTAGTTTTTATTTCTCCAAATTTTACCCATTTCCTAAAACTGTTTTTTTTCCTTGGAAGTTTATTGGTTCATTACTGTTATTATTCCCCACCTAGGTTTTTACTTCCAACTCTCCTGATTTGTTGGAAGTTGGGTCTGCCCCTGCTTTTCCCCTGAGATATAAGTCCTTGTTGGCCCTTAATCGGGGCCCAGGAAGAAAGAGGGGAAGAAATACCATCAAATAAAGTTTCCCTGGGACCCGTGTGCGCTGCCTGTGTTTTATACTGCGCCGAATCAACTGACAACTGGGATTCCACTGAGCTCCAGGGGGAAAACCTGCCTCCCCCCACTCTTAACATCAGCTAGCTGGGGAAAGAGAAGCGGCAAACTGAGATCAGGCTGCTCACAGCTCATCTCCATTTTAAGTATCTCCAGAAATCTAGACTGCACATGGTCAAACTTGCTGGATGACCTGCACCAGTGTTTGCTTTCCTTGTGAAAACTCTTCTTTCTTGAGTTCCAATTGGATTTTTCTGCTCCTACAACTCAACTTTTGTCTGTTTTTTCTTTCCCTTGCAAAGAAGTCTGCCCTCTCCACAACCTCCTATCAGACACACTAAAAACAGCAACAATACTTCCAACCACTACTTCAAGACTTATCAAAGCCGGTTGTCTCAGCCTGTTACTATATGCCATGTGTTCCAGGTCTCCAACCTTAAAAAACAAGACTAGGCTGGGGCTTAAAACACTGCATTAGAATGTCATTAATTAAAAAAAATAATGGCAGGGGAGGATGAATCTGCAGTTACTAAAGAGGAATAGATTGATTTGGATACTCAAAGTGAAAACTGCTTCTGAGAGAGAAGCTAAGTTATGTCTAAGTCTCTGTTGGGTAAAAAAACCTGAAACATTGCAAAGACTTCTTTGCAGCTGTCCTCTTTTCACATATTACACGTTCCCAATGATTCAAGAATTCCATGCAGCTTCGGGGAGTCTTCCAGTTTGATTTGAAATAACTTCTGAAACAGTTGAAGGACGCTGTAGAATTTTTAAGGATGAAGCAGTGGGAATGGGATGGAATTAAAACATATAAGGCTCTGCATATAACTGAAAGCTATGAAGAAATACCACCCACAACTTTATCAGTAAAGTGCTACAAAACTTAGCTTGCTCAGCTAGAACAAGATGATTCAAGCTAACAGACATCAAGAGAGTGCACTGTTAACAGCATAAAAGAAAAATTTTGAGGAAAGAAACAGAATTCCTTTCCAGCTGACGCAAAGAAATGCATAAAGAAGCAACAATCAAACTGAGACACCAAAAAATTTGAAGACCTAACTAAACCAAAACCAGCAACATTAGAGTTTATCCTGCTGTTTATACTGATACCCAGTATATTTGTAGGTGGGTAAAACCCACACTTTTAGCATCATAAGGGCAACCAGAAAGCTCAGAAGGTAGTGTGATTACAAATCCCCATTAGTCCAACACTGGAAAAAACCAACCAACCAACCAAAATCCCTAACATCTAAATGCAGTGTAAAGCAGGTATCCTGGTAACTCTTCTATAACATACACAAGGCAAAACTGATCAAGTACAAGTTGAAAAAAAGGCAGTACCTTCCTAATTAAAAAAAAAAAAAAAAAAAAAAAAAAAAGTTCCCAAAAGAATCTATGGAATGTGAACTAACCTAGGAATATATAATTCAATATTAGCAACAACATAAAATGCAGTTCAATTCTGAAAGCCAAGCATAGATTAAGATTCTACTATTGCATACTGTGCTCTTTGGTAACTGCAATGGATTACAATAAATAATAATCCATTAACCACAAGTCAGAACAATAATCATAACATCCTGGCAAACACATAAAGGAGTGAGAGTCAGATCAATTCTGAAAATACGAAGCGGTCTCACATTACACTTGATCTATGGCTCATACGTCTATGTCTAATAATCCTGTAATCTACTACTCTTTCAAGTCCTTTTAATATTCATATGTCAATATAAGTAAACCAAAACATACTTCATCTGAACATACTGTTACCAGATTTAAAGTTTCCTTTAAAGGTAAAGTTATAAAGAGGAAATAACTTTTGCTACACTAAACAGCTCGTATTACACATTTTCCCCTTACTATATGATCTGATATATTGTTAAATTGAAGAAATTCAAGTAAGCTGATAAATACATCACCGTTACATGCTCTAATACAAGAAGCATTCATTTAATTCAGTCTCTAGATGGATATAAAACATATGAAAAGTTCTCTGTACTTTTACGTTAAACCACTCATAACTAGACAACAGAAAAGAGAACACAACAAATATCTTGGAAAAGATTTGTAAGCCCCATAATTTTTTGAATTCTCTATCCCTTCAATACAAAACAGTGAAAAGTAGGATTATTTTAAATTTACTGCACTGTAAATTGTGTGAAAATATATAAAAGAAAGGCATCCATACTAGTTTAAACAAGTCAAAATACAGACAAATCTCCTGTGGAAGACTAGTACACCTAACACCTAGCAGAGGTAGTTAGCTCAGTGTGCTGCTGCAGTACAAACTGCAGATTGCACCTTTGGTATGGGGAAATGACTGGAGCTTCCAGCAAGAGCGGTGATCGGGTGCAGACCCTTTGCACAATAAGGTGCATGGGAACCTGTGGCACCAGCCAGGTAACCAGCCACTCAGAGATACAATGGGAGCCAATGGCTCAGCAGGAGGACCCAAGCCCCCGTGTGCATGGACTGTGGATACAAAAGCCCACGGATTGCTTGGTTTAGGGTCCCTCCTTGGCAGCACCCAGCTTGATCTTGAGCTAGTTTTGTGTGACTCTGCCATGATTAAAGTACTTAGAAAAATCTGATGTCTGAGACTCTGTTATGGGAAACCTGTGGCTGAGCCTGTAGGGAAACCTTGACTGACAGTGTGAGAATGGTGTGTGCAGCCAGTCTAGCGCAGCATCCATTGACTCACTTGGTGACTCACTGTAGGGTTTTGCTCCCAGCAGTGAAAGTCCGGGGTGGTGGGAATGTGACTATCACTGTGGATGCAGGATTGCCAGACAGCAAAGTTTCCTTAGCACTCATTATCCTAATGCTGAAAACAACCAATCTGTGATTTAGAGAAAATAATGGGACTATAAACCAGCATAAATGATTATTTTTTAATGGCAAAAAATTAAAACAAAATTAATTTTCTCCCGCAAGCACTACGCCTGCCGAAATTAACTGCAGTACATCTTTCAAAATTATTATTTTGCTTTTGCTTTATATTATGAACTATTTGCTGAAACTTAGAGGACTAATTTTTAAGTTCTTTACCATAATTATCGCCTATTTATTTGTTCCCCATTTAATACCTAGTAATTATTTTGTATATCTGTTTATTTGCTAACAAATCTCTAAGAATATAAACTGAGCACCTCATTATCAGAAAACACCTATATATATAAAAACATTAAAAAGTATTAACTCTTCTAACGGTAATCAAACAATAAATATGCAATCTCGTATACATTTTGAACTGATGGTCTTCATGCATTAGAAGTTAGATACATGCTTTAAAGAAATTTAAAAATTTGTTAGTGAAGCCACTATACATTAGTGAAACTGGTGATAACTCCATTATGCAAAACACCCATTCAGAATGCATGCTTGGGAGGAGCCCTGATACCTTTAATTCTTTAAGTCCCTGCATGTATCTCCCTTCTACATCATGTATCTGGTCCTTAAGATCATAGATATCCTGCAGGACATAGGAATAAACCATTGCATAAGAAGTATGAGAAAATAATTTAAAGTTGAAAAAGCATTAACAGGTTTACATGCACTTCTGTCAAATGACAAAGCCTGTAATAATTCCCAGAAATTAAAATTAATTCACAACAACTTGATGGAAATTAAGATTTTGTTTATAACCCTAACTCCAAGACATCTCAAATAGGACAGAATTGTTTGAAATTCGACAAACAAAGCTTAATAAGGTAAATGCTTAAACCATAACTCTGAACACAAACCAAGACAAAATACCAAGAAAGTAAAAAAATACTTCATGATTGAAAATAACATCCTCATAGCATTTTCTTATTATAATAGAAGTTCTGTATTAAAAAAAAATCTTCCTATTTAAACTAGTTCCAAATTCTCTAAAAATGCAATTCACCCGTAATTCACTGAGGGAGGCATCCGGATCCACCAAATTACTTGCATCTCCACTTCCTCTCCTAGATGAGTTGCCACTCTGAGGAGCTGCACTTACTGAATTGCGAGATGAGGGCTTAAAAAAGGGGAAAACATTGTGTCAGGAATCATATGGTTATTTCTGGTACTTGATAAAACTCTTCAAAGTCTTCTTCAAAGACTTCTTCAAAGTCACAGAACAGTTTTCTCTCTGGTCTTTCTTAATACTAGCTTACAGACAGTATTTTCAATTGAGTATTTTTCAGCATCTGTGTTTCTTCTTGGTAAAATGCTGGTTTCTTGTTGATGACTTAGTGTATCAGAACATTAGAATTTTGAGTCATCTATCCAGAAGATATTCATAATCAGCTAATAGTACTGTAATATAATATATTTCTAGTACTATATAATAGTACTAGAAATACTGTAGACATTGACAATATTATTAACTCTTATAATTTCTGCCATCCAGGATTCAGAAGAAAACCAACAATGAGAATCTATCATACGGATTTTTATAGCTTTAGCCTCCTAAATTTTAGTCTTTACTGGTAAGTATTTCTCATTTATGAAAAATAAGTTGTATAGAAAATTATTACTGGCCAAAAGTAAACTAAAGAATAAATTTTTTTCCTCAAGAAATAAAAGTCATAAACCACTAACTCTGGACAATAAAAAAGTATATCTAAAAATATTTTTGCAAGCTAACCCTGACAAAAATACAAAGAATACACAGAATGTACACTTTTTGAATTATTTCAACACTTGTGATTTGTGAATGAACACTGACTTTAAATAATTTTTAAAGTTTTTTTAATTTTAAAAACTCTTACCCTTGAAAATATTTCTGAATGTGACTTTTCACTCTTTTCTTCCAGCTGAAAGAGAATAGGGAACACGATTACCTTTCGTAATAAGGAACTACTGAATTGGTATCTTTTATTCAAAGAGACTGAGAAATATTTTTAAATTAAACCATTTAAAAAATTCCAGATGTTAGCATGGATCAAGACAGGAAAAATAATATTTAACTTAAAAAATAGTTTTTACATTTATTTTGCAATTGAGGTAAAGTAAAAAGCTTGTAAAGAAAAAAGCCAGAAACCTTTCTTTAAAGTTTTTAAAATGTCATTACCAGTGCTGAGCAACAAAACATGCCTATTCTTAAATTTCAAGTATATTTAAATATATGTTTCAAGTAATATTTAAATTTCAGGAGTAATCACTACAATACTAGATGGCATAACAGATGCAAAGCTTCATGCAGGTACACTTCAGGCAGTCAGTGACAGCAGGGTGAATGCCGCAGTTAACAGAAAACACATCTGTACATTCAATCTCTTTAGTGTCACCTGCAATTACATCACAATAAAACTGGTTCGGGTAAAAGCCTATAACTGAAGTGTACGAAGTAAAAGCAATCTACAAAATAATTTCAATTCATATTCTATCTACTGAAGACTAAGGAAAAGAACTACCACACTCCCTTCTTACTTAGGAAACTGCTATTGCAAAATTCTATTGTAGATGTTCACATTTTCTACATTTCTATGAATCAAAATAGGTGGGATTAGACACATATTTAGTATGGTCTCTCACATATCCTGCTTCTCAAAGAATACCTGTTTTTCTCTATGCCAGGGAGAAGAGTTTTGGAAGTCTATTGCAATCACAGAAGAAACAAACACTACTTTATAAGACTTTTCTTTTTCCTCTTTATTGTGGTTTCTAAAAAAGCAACATTGCTTCTTCATGACAAATTCACTACCTCAAATAATGTACTGAAATTATAGATTACAAATATTTGTTACCAGTGTGATGATACAATGATGTGAAGAATCCAATTGATCTGAAGGATACATTTAGACTAACCTAAATAAAAATATAAATTTCAAATCTAATGACAAATAATGATGATAACACAAGCAACTAAGAAGGCAGCATAACTACCAGTCTCAGCCTCCACATTTCTTTTAGCAGAGCATTAATTTCAGAAAGCTTTATTATGGGAAAAAACGCTGAAGTTTAAGCTGGAGACATAATTAGTCTTTCATTATTTGAGAATGATACAGATGAAAAATAACATGAATTATTACAACTTATATAGCACTGTAACAGTATTAAAATATCATCTAAATGGTAAGCCACAGAAAGTGATTGTGAGCGCAAGTCTAGCTCTCAGCCTCCCATTCAAAGCACAACCACAGCCAACAGATGTGGTTTGATCTAGCAAACTGTCACCAGCTCCTGAACACAGAGGTTCTGCAGCCTTGCTGTAAGCTGACAGACTGGAACAGTAACGTCCTTTTGGAGCTTCTTGGAGTGTCTGGTCTGAACTCTTAAACTGCAGTGTGAGGTTGCTGGCCCTTGTTGCACTGCTTGGCAAGGGTACAAAGACTTTGGCTCTCACCTAAGCAAGCAATTACACGCTGCTGATCAACACATACCATTCTTTCTGCTCAACTAAATAAACACAGTGCTCCCAGCCTCTCTGCCTACCTACTGCATCTGCTAACCCTAAATGCTGTTTCAAAAGATATAACTAAGAACAGAAATTTGCCTTTTACTCCATGCTATTAAACACAAAAGTTTAGCCTGCAAGTAACAAGAATATTTAGAAGTTACAGCAGCAAGAAAGAGAAGGTGGCTAGGTTGGTATAAACAATGTTCAGCCTAAAGGGAGCTGTGTTGTGTTGCAGGATTCATTTGGTGTGTTCTGTTACTCCCTAAAGCTATAATGGTTCGGTCCTGGGATCCCCCTTCCCCCTCCCCTGGAACCTCTCTCTCTGAGAGTGTCAATTCGTTCTCTCCTCCCCTGTTTCCCTGGTTACCTTCTGTCAATCCCTCCCCAAGTTCCTGTCCATCACCCACTGTCTCCTTCCCATATTCCAGAAAGTTCTCCTTTCTTCGGTGGGTGATTGGATCGGGAACAAGGGTCCCTCCCTGTCACATTCCCTACTGGCTAGCCGGCATGTTTCTCACAAGTTTGTTCACTCCCCAGTTCAACCTCATTGGTCAATGTGTCGTGTTCCCACCCCCGTTATAAGCTGCTGTTTTCCCTGACTCGTGGTCCCTGCTCGGCTGGTGCACCTGGAGTTAATACAGGCTCTGGATTTTACCCCCGAGGAGGGTCCCTCTCTTCATTCTTCTACTTCGCCTGCCTGCTGCTCCCTGCTGCCCCTTGCTGAGGCGCTCCCGGGACGCCCCGGCGCATCTAGGGAGTGCCCCCCCCGGCTGTCGGCTGCCGTGCCTTCAGCTCAGCCGGTGCGACCTCCTCCCCGCCCCGGGGGAGTAGAGAGACTCGGACAGCAGCACAGCAGAGCTGCACAGGAAAACCATCATGGTAATTTTCCTGTAACATGATCTCTTGATTGACATGGGATTCTGTACAAGTGCATAGCCAGCAAGGAGTGCTTCTGTAATGGATTCTGAAAAAAATCTCATATGGGATGATGGAACACTAAAATGCACTAATGCAGGCACAGATATAAGTATCTTTGTCACTAAAAGAAGTAATAGCATTCCAAAAGCACACAAAAACCTCCCTAGCATGGTTAATTTCCATAAGAAAAAAATGTAAAATATTTGGGTCTTTAAAAGATTGTTAAGCTTATCACACACACACAAAATTGTGAAGTGTTACACTTGTCACATGCTTCTAGCAACAGGCAAAATCTCCTTTAAAAGAAGGAGCATGCTTTTTAAAATTTCACTCAGTACATTTTTATATGAAAGCAAGTCCCAACTCCGCAATAAACCAATTTGCAATTAAGTAATTTAGAATGCTTTAACAGTATTTACTCTTTCAGAGTATGAAAAGAAAATCTGTGGTTTTGCTGTATTCACCAAAGTGTAAATAAAAAGCATTACACTCACACTATTCAAAACTTGGCCATAATCTGCATCAGAAACAATGCTTCCCCTGTGGCTGGAACGACTGAAATAATCAGCAGTAGTTTCACTTTGATCAGAAAAATCAGAGGACTTCAAAAGATAAGGAGAAGGTGAAAGAGAACTGAAGATGTTCATTCACTGAATGAACAAAAGTTTATTAAAAACAAAAAAATCCTACTTTAAATCTCCATTATTGCATTAAAAACAATGAACATTTATTATTGATTCATCTTCCTCAATTAGAGTTATATAAAAAAACATAAAACCAGATTGTTGTATTCCGTTTTATTAAATGGTATGCTCTGTCTCACCCCTCCGAAATGTATGGTATATTCTAAGCCTGTGGTCCTGCCCTGAACCATCCTGTATCTGTCATCCCATTGGCCCAATGTGATTCCACGCCCACTTCAATTCCCCTCTTAAGCTGTGCTAGGAGATCAGTCTGGCTCTTAGCCATTACGCTCTCTCAGCCTCTTCCCCACTCTTGCCCCTTCCCTCCCCTAGGCTCCCCCTCCTTCCCCCTTCCCCCCTTTTCCCTCAGTAGCCATGCTGTACCCGGGGTTGGGACCCCAAATAAACCTTCATCTGATCAGCACCCTCAGAAGCCGTGTGGAGTCTCCTTGCCTGCCTGCTGCTGCCAGCCAACTCACAGCCTAGGGGGCCCTCCGGGGACATCCCCGGGGTGCCCCCACCTCAAAACGCACCACAACACCAGATACCAAAGTGTTTAGCATTAATTTAAAGTCAAATACAAACGACAAAAATTAAGTTTGCAGATCATAAAATACAGATGATATAAACTGATAAATGAAAACTATTTTTCTCTACAAATGTTGTCTTTTTTTCATATCAACACAAACCCAACAGTGCTAGCTATAATCTGGGCTTCTTCTCATTCCTAAATTTAAGACGTCTTACACTAGAAGGCAAAGTTACTCCCCAAAGATATATGTCAGACTGACACCTGAAAAGGTGGGGGAAAATGCTAGTGCTACACATTTCTTGTTAAAAAAGGCAAAATATATCCAAGTGCAATTACATCTGCAATGGGAATTCAAATGACACATTTGACTGAGATACATTATGCCATGTAAAACACAGTATTAAATGGGAAGAGTGGAATTATCATAAGCTTATTGATAACATTCTACTTCAAAAGGCAGAAAGTTAAAACTAAATACAATCTTCACAGTGGAAGTGATTGTAGGAGAAAAAAAATCCTTCTATGAAGACTTTGAAAATATATTGTCCTTATCCAATTCTCACAATTTAAAGAAAAATTCTTTATTCTTGACATATGTGATTAAAAGCTAGCAAGGTTAAAAAAGTTACATATATAACTGTATACAAAAAACAGTTTATTGGTGAACACCTGGCTCAGATTATGCTATTTTAGGACTACAGAATTTGTATTTGTTGTCACTGCTATATTATGTTCTATTTCTCTGACAACAAATTTTCCAGCTATTTTTCAGCTACCTCTATATTTCAACTAGTATCTTAACTTTCATTAAATGTAGCTAGCTAGGTAAATTTTGATAGTTGGAAATTTGGCTAAACTGTCCTATTGCACTTGCATTTCACAAAGTATAGAGATACTGAACAGAATTTTTATTTCTTATGATTACAGCAAAAGAACAACTCAGGCTACAATCTATGATGGATTTTTATAATTCAAAATCCACTTCTCTTTGCTGTTGAAAGATCCATATACCTAATAAACCTTGCTGTCCCTCCTTCCATACTTTTTGTTGTACTAGTATCTTTCCCAATAGGTTCATCAAAACTTATACATTTTAAGATGCAGAAGCATCATACAGTTTCTCCCAGGTGTTTTCTACCTTTTAGATCTCTCCTACTTGCTCTTCTGATTTTCAGAGAGAACTAAACTGACTTCAAATGCATTATCCAGAGTAAAACCAAAATACAAGCCACAGAAACAGTAGGAAATTAATGTTACATTAGTCATAAGATTTTTACCTCATCTGCTTTTCAGGATTATTTCATTAAACAAATGCTTTGAACTCTATTAAGCATTCACTAGTGTGAATGTACCTTGGCATTACTGGTATAAGATATACATAGTGAGATCTGATATATATTTATTTATATATATATTCCTATATATCTTGAAGTAGTTTTAAGAAAGTATCTCGGTGTTAAGAAAATCTAAGAAGACAAGTAGCATTTTCACAATGCAAGAGACTATATATATATATATGTCAATACCTGTTACATTTTAGAACTTCATAATGCAACAGCAAAATTACCTTTTTCCTAAACTCTCAAAAATTCACTGATATCTCTTGTAGCTAAAAGCATTCGTTTCTGACAAATGTGGTTTTATTTGTTTAGTACATATAACACTGTTAATATGTGAGAAATTTTTAAAAGGACTAAGCATTTCAATTTAGCCCATACTAGAACACTGATAACTTATTTTGTTTTGTGTGGTGTGACAAATGAGCAGCTATATTAATGAAACTCAGACAATTGTTCTGTGGCAGAAGCAAAATAAAACTCTTTAAAATCACTTTGCAGCACAAAGAGCCAAGTTGAGAATGACACTTTTAATACAATACAGACCCAGAAACAAATTTTTCTCATTTTGGATACTGGTTATCATAAAAATAAATTATCAAACTTCTTACTGCATGATGTAACAGTTTCCATTAATCCTCTTCCCCAAAGAAAGACTTTTCCACATGTACTGTAGTGTGTTTCATGTGCTTGCCCCATCTATGACATAGGGTGGTAATCCCAACAATGTGCTATACTTCAGTTACTAGTTGTTTATTACAAATATGAAACAGATATTTAGAAAAACAAATTCCTTCTACAGTTTACTGTCCTACTGCTAAAAGTTTACATCTTGTTAAAAATCATACCTCTGACAAATCAAAACTTCTTTGCGAAATGGAAAAATCAAATCTGTGTGTTGCTCAGTGAAACAACCACAAGTAGACATACTATAACTGCTGATGTGTTAATACCAAAACATTCATCAAATCGTGCATAGGAATGCTCACCACAGGACTACTTCGGACTGAGTTTGCTCTTGAAGAATAACTGCATTCAGATGGCTAAAGAAAAGTTATGAAGGACACTTTCACAACTTTCATAGATTTTTGTCTGCAGAAAACAAAGATAATGAAAGAAACAACCAGAAGCCTATAACACTAAGAATGCAAGAACCATTTGAGTTATGTCATTCATCACCACACAATGAGGCCTGACAAAGAAGGAATGAAGTACCATGTATATCCAGACTCAGCCATTATCATGCCACACTCATATGCTGTAATTCCTATGCACAGTCACGTACTCTGTTATCCTATCTACGTATTTCCAGTTAGTAGCATACTTCTTGAGTAAAAAAAAAATTTTAAGATTCGCAGCAGCATTTACTACTACTAGCAAGAATGTCTATTTCCATGTGTCACTTAAGAATTCCCTTAAAAAACAGCCAAATACTTTAAAAAATCAAATCTTAACTAGTTGCATAACTGAATTAAACATTTAAATTACAATTTGGTTTTAACTGCTCTGCAGAAGTTTTAACACACCCTGGGAACTGAACCTATGCAGTACACTTAGTGGTTTTATGTTACAGTCACTCATGCACATTCTCCTGAGTTATGTTTAAAGGTGTAAGGCTGAAATCTATTTATGCAGTGAATAATAAAAGCAGCTCTGAGAAATGCAACTTAAAAAGAAAAAAAATTACCATTTCATGCTGCTTTGCCCCTCCCTATGAAGAAACCACCAGCAGAAATTAGAAGTATATATGTATCAGAGTTATCTGCAATAGCAGTCTTTACTGTATTGCTCTCTCATTGAATCTTCTAACATTTTCTTGAGAACATACACAAAAGCCAAAAATAGTAAATCATCTATTTGTAATCCAAGTGCAAAAGAAGATCTCACTAACTAATTAAAAACACTACACAATATTTGATGGTTTTTTAAATAGGTTTAGCATGTCTCTAAATGGCAGTGTAAGATGGATTTGAACTACTACAGCAGCAAAAGGCATAAAGTTTCAGACATTCATGCCAGCTTTAAAAGATAACTTTTTGCAGAGCTACCTTAGCCATTCTTATGGCACTACTAGCTACTCTTGATTTTGTAAAGATGCAGATTAGGTTTTCATGCTACTGCATTTTTTTATGTTTATTAAATATAAACATGGCATCCTATTTAAAAGTATTCAAGGTGTATTTACCACAAACTTCAGTAGTCTCCTGATTTCCATCCAAATGCTTCACTTTTTAAAATACTGGTTTTGGTGTTATACATGCAGTTGTTATTTAGTATGTTAGAATTAACTTATTCTAACCCCAGTGTTCTTCAACATTATTGTTGCATTCACTTAACTTTATGCTTGCTTATAAAAAGAGCAGTAAAACAGCAACTGCTAAAATACTTTAAAGAGGCAATTTAACAACATTAAGAAAATTAAACTGAATGCCTCCAGAAAATCATACACAGAAAATGCAACTCCAAAAAATGCACATGTAATACACATGCACATGTGCAAAATGCACATGTCAAACCTCATGGCCATACAATACAAATTTGAGGCAACCATGCATATGGTGCTTACAAAACAAACTGATACTTCTTATCAAACCAGTATTTAAAGTAGACACCTATGAAGAAAAGTGTAATTTTATATTTATATTGGGCCATTCAAACATCTAAAGGTAAGTAAAATATTGTTTTACATTGTACTAACCCTGTAACTCCTAGATGGTGCCACTGGATCACTGTATAGAGAAGATGACTATAATGTGAAGAACAGAACAAGTCAGAAACACTTTTTCTGCATACATAAATTTTAAAATTTATTTTCTATAATCCACTAAAGTCCTAAAGATTTAAATACTAAATTTTAATCTATCTATAGTAGACAGAAACTTTCAGGAAGGGTGGAAGAGCCTCCAAGAAAATCTGTTATTTTTGAAATCAATTTAAACATTATTAAACCAATCTAGTATTTTTTCAAGTAGATTTGTGGAAGAGAGTGAAGAAATTAAGGAGTTCTCAAATAACATGTCAGTTTTCTCTAGCTAGTTATTTAAACCTGGCCATGACCACAGCTGCAGGTACTGGAAGATATTACTCATCTCATTATATATCAGTATTTTATAATTTATGTTAAGATGGAAAAAAGTATTGCAATGGTGCTAAACATTTAAGACTTCTTTTTGTTGTTTTTAAAAGACAGGAATTTGACACAGCAACTGTTACAGCTGCTGGTTGTTTCCTGTATATCATACAGAATCATGACACAGCAGTTATTTTAAATTTAAAACCTCACATGCAGAACAGTGTAATCTGCATGTTACACATTAATTTTATAAAACACAACCCTTACAAGCAAAAAATACAATTGTTATTACTTTTAACTGTAATAATTGCAAGTGTCATAGAGAGATAAGTTAGTGTCATATGGCATAAGTAAGCAAAACCACATATATGTATTTTATATAAATAATTCAATTAATATAGAAAGAGGAGACAGACCCAAACATGGTAGAAAGGAACTGGTTTACTATATCCAATGCTGCTATAATTTCTTTGATCACAGTAAATTCCACTCTGAGGGGTAAGGAAGGAAAGAAGAGAGAAAAGAAAGGTTGCATCTGTACATCTTGCAAACAAAAGTTTTATCTTAACATTACCCAAGTGTTCCCAAGCTTAGATCTTGTGCAAAATGCTGCAACGTTTTCCCTAATGTTTACCCCAAATCCATTTAACTTTCTTAAGGAAGTAAATAATAAAAGCCTCAAAATTACTATGTACTTTGTATATCAGCATTAACTGTATTTCTAATGCCATGCTCAAACAAAATAGTAACTAATTTTGGTATTTTTCCTCCATAGTAAAATAAAAATTCCAAAAGCTTGACAAGTGCAGCAAGAAATACATGAAAAACATAACTGAAAAGACTTGCTAATAATTAGTACAATTATTTACTTTATCTTTTTTACATTACATACCTTTATGAATCAAAGCATTTTGGGGAGGGAGAATAATAGAAAGTCCTAATAATTGAATTGGGGCTGGATGTTTATCTGACACTAGCATAGTCTGTACCCTACCACTATTCTTTACATCAAGTGCACACACTGAAAGTCTAGCAATTATATTTTGGCTTATTTCTGTTGTGTTTTGACATGCTCTACACAAATTGCATATATATGCACATGTGAGGAAAAAATTCATACACACATACAGAAAAGAAAAACCAGACAGATAAAAACAGAGCAAAAAGTAGCGCCTGCAGCATACAGCACTTCTTATCTCAACAGGCAACAGAAAGCAGAAATATTAATATTGCTCATTTGTTTAGGAACTAAGGGAACAGCCCTTCAAAAGAACATTAAAAAATGCTATAATACAATAATAAGTAAATACAAAATTACTTCAGCCTAGTCTCAACACAAGCTGTTTTGATCCCCCCAACCCTTAATTCAGTTGCTAATTCATCAGTACCAAAAACTGTCTGAAAAACTACATCCAAAATATTTTCATTTATTGACACTATTTCCACCTGTTAAACACCAAACTTTCTGGAATTGTTTCTACATAGTCAAAATAATCCTCATGCCTTTCTCAATAAATCACTGGATTAACATCAAGATCTCTGGCAAATTCAATCTGCTGTACATCTACATTTAAAATGTTTCTAACTATTTGATAGAGGACAAAGGGGGAGTAATAGAACACATATCTCCATCCCAACTGAATAAACTTTAATCCAGAGAAGTGCCACCTTTAAACAGTTCCAAGAGCCCTTTCCAGGCCTCCAGCAAAACAACATTTCTATTCATCTGATTCCATTGATGGTATTGCACTGATACAAAAACAGTTTCAAACACAAATTGGAAGTCAGAATCTGATCAATATGAGGGTGGTTTTTTTTTTCCTAAAAACATTTATGCAAATGTCAGGAAGCTAACAAATTTATTCATGATGCTACATGCTGTTATGGATTGATTTTGGCAATAGTGTTAGTGCTTTTATGAAAGGTGTATTTCTAAAATGGTTACTGTGAGACGTGATTTGGAAACAGAACAAAACACGCTTTACCTTGGGAATGGAGGGGGAAAAAACATTTTATTGATTTACAACACAAAGACAAGAGGGAAATAAAAAGAAAAAGACTACACACAAAAATCTACAATGGAAAACTTCTAAAATATTTTTTTCTCTTTCTATCTTTCTAATACTATCACACTATATGACAAGACTGTAATTCCTAATTTAGCTACCACTCCTCTAATACTTAATTTTCAGTTCAATATCATTTTTACACAGTTTTTTTTTTTTTAGTTTATTAGGAGAGAGGAGGGGTTTTTTTGTACTATGGGCTTTTTTAGGAAACACAGTTGGAATTTCTTGTGCTTCTATGTCACACGTGGCAGCCGCCTGAAGAGAATTTGCTGTGGTGAGTATTTCTTTTATGTTTAGTGTTCTTACTACTGTCTATGGATTTAAACTGCTTTTCAGGTTTTTTTAAGAATGTATTGCTCAGTTTCAAGAAGTGTCAGTTTTTTACTATTGGGACGTTTGTCTTCTCTATATTCATTTTTTTGGGGCTTGGGGGTTTTAGGAACAGAGATTTTTTCTGTTGAAGGCAGACAGCCCTACTACAGCCTCCCCATCAGTCTTTGTTCCTTTTACTTCTTTTTGTAACAGCTTTGTCACTCTTGGCTTTTGGCTAACTGCTTCTCTTAAGCTGTAGTTTTTAAATTACAGGAAGAAATTGGTTCCGTCTCATGGCTAGGTAAGAGAAAAGTCTAGCCAAAGGCTACTCTTAATCTCTTTTATCTAGGGCGCTTTTTATCTGGTGATATTTCTTCCCTTACTCAAGCTGCCTTCTTATTTCCCTATCTTCTGTCTCCTCTCAATTCTTAGTTATGGAGGATCAGTGTTTTTACAGCTTTTATTGTCTTAGCATAAAAGGGGCTAAAACTTCAGCCGCGGTTTGCTGTCGGCTGGGCACCTTACCTCCCTCTTTTTTCTTCTCGGCCATGATGCTGGCACAAGATATCAAATTTTAAGCCAGCACGGTGTCTCTACCACTCTCTCCCGGAGCCGGGGTGGAGGGTGGCTGTTTGAAACATCTCAGATCTTTTTTACTCTTGCATTTCGCAGGGGCTCCGGCCTCCCTTCCCACAGGCTGCATGGTCTCTCCTTCCCTCACCCAGAGGTAGCTGGGCAGGAGAGGTCAGATCAACTTACTGACTGGACTTGAAAGAGAAAGTCTTTTTGGGAATCTTTTGCTTTTAACCCTTGCGTGTTCTCAGAGGCGTATCCAGGTCTTCAGTAGCCACACCAGGTGTTAATTTTCAAATCTGGCCACTGATTGGTCTGAACACAGCTTTCCCAGAAACTCACTTCCTGGTCAAACCACAACACATGCTTAGTATATTTATAAGGAATATTATATGACAAAACTACCCAATAAACCATCATGAGAATAAAGAGCTTTCTCCTTTGAACTTTGTGATTAAGAGTAAGCATGACTCTAAGAATGAAATTTAGAGAATTAATACCATTATGTAACAGCATCTTCAATCTTAAAATATAAAGACAGATATAAGGATTTAAGAGTTTTATCACCTAAAGCAGAAACAACACAGGAAATTCCAAATACCTAAATAGAAAAAAATAGGCCACACTTCTATCATTGTGTTAAAAAGAAATGGCAATTGAAACTATAATTAACCCTATCCTCATTAATATAGACTTTCCTTAAAGCTAGTGCTCACATCTCACAGAAGAATTTCAACCAATAAACAAACTAAAAAAGCTTAACAATATAGACTAATTTAAGCACTATATTGTGCTTGCCTATCTGCTAGCTAATTCAGATAACAATGCTATTTGAACAAATACAGCTTTTTAAGCAGCTTAAATATTCCTTTTGGTGGTACTTGATGCTTGCCTCTTCTTAAAAAACAGACTTTATGTGGCATAACACCACTGAGAATGTGATGCCATCTACTATCACTTCATAAAAGTACAACAGATGTCTTTTAAGTAAAGATATACAAACTAGTTGCTTATTCCCTGGACTGAAGTAACTCTCCATTAGATTAAGTTGCAGTTTCTATGCGGTAATAGAGAACACAAATAGATGCATACACACTTTTCCCCCCAAAGATGTCCTCCAAGTCTAATCTGTACAACACTTTACTACAAAACTTAGAAATAACAGTAATAGAAAGTGCTTGCTGTAAGACAGGTGTCTTTTCTCCCTGAAAAAAAATTACACATGTTGGCTACAGAAAGTGTTAGAAGTATAAAACTATAATAGATCTGAACATGTGATAGTACAAATTTATATACTTTTTAAAGTCAGGAATTTAAAATCACTAGTTAATACCATTACACCTCAGAAACAAAGCACAAAAACAGTCTTCCCTCAAAGAGATGCAAAGTATTAGCATATAGGGACCAAATATCTTGCAGATTTATCCTTAGTTTTGTCATACTAAAGTAAAATAAAATTAAATTAAATGAAAATCACAATGTTAAAAAAAATTAAATTGCTTTTATTTCAAAGAATGACTAAAAAGACTTTCAAGGAAATTCCAAGAAAACATATTCTACTAATAATGAAAATTTAAACAGGAAGGAATATCCATTTATCCAGATCTGAAGTGCTTTCTGAGGCTAGACCATTCAATAAAAATGAATATTTTTCCCCAACAGCGTCCCAATTTATGAAAAATGAGATCATTTTGGACAGCACTATGCTATGCGAAATATTTAATGTGATTTTAGTAACAGAATTTTAAATAATTAAGCCAAGTCTTATATGGTAGATTTCATTAAACTGAGACAACATTTACAAGGTTATGTAACAAAAGGCTCATACAAATCTGCACACAGGCAAAGCACTCTAAAGGAACATCAGCCCCATTGTCAAGCTGTGCAACTCACCATGATGCAATGACCTTCCATGGTACCTTACAGGCTCAGGAAGGTCACTGCCTATGGGGTACAGGACATGAAAGACTTTACAGAAGGAAGGGGAAATAGTATTTTGTGATCAGGGAGGAATTAAAGGTGGGAACAGAGGAATTAAGTGTTTTCAGGAAGAGCAAATGTGTGAAAAAGAAGGAACAGTGTGATGACAGGGCCAGCTATGCGTAAAGAGAATGGGAGTTTACCAGAGTTGGCAGCTCTTAAGAATACTAATAAAAACAGCTTCGTAATAATAGTTTAGCAACTGTCCTATGTTTCCTGTCACTCAGTAACAGCAAAATTTGTGAAATTTATACTTCTTTTTTTCAACTTAGAAAACTTAAATTTTCATAGCAAGCTTGTTTTTTTTCCAGTTCATTTAAAAATGTCACAGGTATTTTAACTGTAGGTAATGCGCAATACAAAATATAATTTTATATCAACCTAAGCCTACTTGTAACACAAGAGAAAAAAGAAACTGAAGGTAGTTTGAAAATATTACATTACATAGTAGTAGCATGCTGGAGTATTGCCCAGTGTAATTTTCAAAATGAGGAGTAATGAGAGGATTTCAAGAAAAAATATTTTTGTCTATTGTTATATCTGAAAATTTCTTCTAGACATGAAATTAATACCAGAAATTCCCCAGATTTAGATTTTATATTTGTTTATAAGTCAATATAGCCCAGATTTAGCTAATATTATTTCATACTGTATTCATATTATCTCAATAGTTCCAATATATCCAGTATTAACAATATATTAAATGATATTAAAATATTGTAGATGTAATTTATAGACTGTGGTCCTTTTTGTGTTGCTAAAATTATTACCTACAGGACCCATAAGTCAATGGATCAGTTTTAATCAACTTTATTTATTTTTTTAAAACAATTTCTGTCTCTAATTATTACCTCCAATAAGCAACCTTGCTATCAGTGAATGAAGACAGATCACTCAGACACTTATCATCCTGACACTAACTTAAACTGTTAATATAAATGGTATAACAGTCTACTAAAAAACACTTAACTTGCCTAAACTAGTAATACCACAAATAAACAGAAATACCCATTACTGAAAAGGCAAAATTTCTGTATTTCAGCCTTGTCTGTTGTTCTAAAATCACAACATAAAAGAGAAAAATGTCTCCTATTGTAACTTTCAATAACACGTTTTTACCTGTCAAGGCTGATGGACAGCTGTTTCCGTTTTATTTTACTTCTCTATTGGGGACATGGGGAGAGAGCGACTGAAGAGATGAATTCCCTTCACAACTGTAAGTGTTCTTTCTTTCAGCTCTCACATTTGATATCACAAATTACTTGATTACATCAATCATTGCAGCAGTCCCATTAACACCATGTTCTATAAGCATGCTTTCACCAAACTACTGCTTTGCTAAGTAACCACAGAAAACATTAGAATGTGAACACATCACACTAAGTAAAAAGTGCTCATTCCAAGTTACACACCACAAGAGCTCTCCTTTTGGAGGTACTTGCTCTGCTCCTGTGAGATGCACTGACATCTGAGGAACTCTTGAGAATGAAATTATAAAAATACATTAACATATTAAATACATTTTTAAATTTAATTATATTACGTTTCACTGAATGACAGAAAATAACCAAGGCAGTCAAAGAAATTCTAAGTAAGCCCCCCAAAAACGAGCTTAGTTATCTGCCCAATTCAAACCCTCTCATTTAGACAACAGCCAATTACTTAATCTCCATCTTAGCATATTTGCTATGTCAGCCAAGACAAGAGCAGATCTGAGCAAAGCTATATCAGCTCACAAGTTTCTAAGAGTTGCACATAGCATGTTTTCTTGATAAAGCATTTACTGTTCAAAATTATTTGGTAAAAATATGTGTGTGGCGAATTGCAGAAATACTTAACACTAGTACTTGCATGACATTACACAAAATTCAGTTAATCAGAAACTACATTTAATTGCAAAAGTCTCTTAGCAAATGACAATCACCTTTTTTAAAGTCACACAAAGAAACAGCTCATTCCAACTTCCAAAATACATAAAACCAACCCTTCTATTTTAGTAATTTGTCCCTTTCCTGGCCTGTATACCCAGATCAATGACCAGCTGATTTCTAGGCAGATGCAAGACCAGGAAAATGTTAACATAACCTCAATAAAACTGTTCTCTAGCAATATATATATGGCCTAAAGATGATATAAAAGAGTCTATACAAAAAATATTTCTGTTAGCAGTCTTTGGGATACCTTATATCATTCGGCTAAATATTTTGCCATTAATGAATAATATATTCCCACCTTCTCCAAGAAAAAGAATCTTGCATCATACCAAACTCTTCTTCAAATTATATCTTAAGATACTGATACCTTTTCTTTCACAAATGCTCAAAGTATTTGTGAAAGATACACAAATGCTCATTTTCACAGTAATGCTCAAAGTGCAAGAAAAGACTGGAAGATTGAAACATAAAAATAAACTACCTTTTTAACATTGATGGAAAGAAAACACCAGATGAACTTGAACATTGTATGTGACTTAAAATGACTAAAACTACAAATACTTATGAGACTTGAAGCTTCATCCTCTCCATTAGAAAAATAAGCCAGAACCCAAACCCTTTTTTCCTTTGGATTGGTTTCTGAAGGCTACGATCAAAAAGAAAAAGTATACAGTTTGAACACAAACCAAATATGAATGTCGACTGGAGTGGTGAGAGTATCTGGCCCTCTCTGCATCTTCCTGAGAAAGAAGAAATGCAGAGTTACTTCATAAGGAAGGAAAAAAACCCCGACACAATACTAGGAAGCTAAAGTGAGCAACATGCTGTTAGCACTTTTAATGCTATGTGTCATTTTGAATAATCCATAGTGGCAAGTAAAGTCATTCAAGTCAGAAGAGCTCATTTCACCTGATTTGGCTAAGTAGGCCAAGTTATCACATTAAGGAATATAAGCAAGACAGGTTAATATAACTAATAATTAGTTTTCAGTAGTCAGTTAGCCTTTCTTATGATTAATATATTAATGCAGAAAAAAAGCACAAAATTATTTAAATTAAGAATAAAAGTAAAAATAGAGAGCTTTACAAAATTACAAGTACACTAGTAAGAAATGTACCATATAATTACTACATTGAGATTTTAAGTAATTTACCAAGTTATTTGAGCTCTAAGAGAAATTATTGTCCTCATTTGCCTCAAATATATTTTGCATTTTTTTTTCTCTACTAGAGGAACAAAGCTTCTTAAGCAAATTGACCAGTTTTAAATTCTACAGTTAGTTTTCCTATACACTGACAGTAAATAAACCAAACTCAAAATCTGAGTGATGACAACTACCTAAGGCACCTTAATATCTTTTATTCTGTTTAAAGATGAGAGAATGTTCATTTTGGTTTACACAGAAGAATACATGAAAGATGCAAGACAAAAACCACAACTAATTTAAAATCAAAACATATTTCGCACGCCATAAGCATCTCAAATTGCTACAGTATGAAAACATGTTAAGAATAATTTTAAAGCTATCTCATCTGGAAGCTACAACACAGTTCTAAAAGTAGGAATTGTTCCTTAACTTACCTATTTCCTACAGTTTTCAATATATTGAACTATTTTAAAGATTGTAAAATTATTTATAGAATTAAAGGCTTTGTCTCCAGATCATAGATGGATATCTAAAAATTAGATTTCTTATTGCTTACGGTCACATGGTTGTCATCTGCATTTTCACTGGTACATTAATGTGTTTAAAACTATTTTACAACTATTCAGTATTCAACAGGCCTCTTTAAAAATCTGCCAGAGAACTGCCATGGGGGGAGCGTACTTTCATTTCATAATGACATTTTAGTCTTCCTCTCTGTACTGTTTGTTTTGAGATTTAAAATGAATGCTCAAGCTATTTAACTTTTCAACACAATATAGTTAGATCATTGATCTTTTTAAAACTCTTTATATCTCTGGTCTAAACGGACAAGTACCTCTTTGTAACATCTGCATCAGGCAAGAAGAAAGTTTGCTACTTATGTAAGATTCCTCTTAATTGGTGGGTAACAAGTCTCTTCCTGACATTCCATCAGAAGATAGAAAGCCTGTATTAAATGTTCAGTATATTCAGGTCAAAGGATTATGTACTACAGTATGTATTACCAGCAGCATCTATCTGTTTGCATCTCAAGCTCGATTTCTAAAAGTTCAAGTTGGAATTATGCATATTATCCAATACAGAGGTTACATCTCCCAAACCAGGAAAGGAGTGCATATCTGTTTAGAAATCTCCTGCAGCAGATGTACCCCTTAGGACTGCAAAAGGAAGGTGGCATTCAGGTGAGTGGCATTAATTTTGAGTGAGATTCCTCTCAAATACCATATTTTGGAAACCCTTGATCTCAAGCAAAAAAGCCTTCAAAGATACATTCCACCAAGAAATACAGAAACTACGCTGATCTTGAGAACATGAGAACTAATGTATACACATACCAGACAGGCAAAGAGACAATGAAGACTGAATACAACTTTGCAAATAAAATTCTAATGACAGTCCTAGGATTTCTCAACAGATATTAACTGCCATTGTAGTTTTAACTATTTGAAATGATGGCTAGTCTCAGCGTGTATTACTTAAATCTTGGTGATTCAAAACATTCCCACAGTGAACACTATCCTAAAAGCCAGAAAAACCTGACATCTCCCATATACCCTTTTAAGAGGCACATTAATTCTGTGAAAGGAACCCTCTAAAGAAACTTTGTAATTAGTCAGTCTCACTCCAGTGCTGGGTAAAATAATGGAAAAGTCTATTCTGGGAGGTACTGAACAACACCTAGGGGAAACTCAGTCATTAGTCACAGCCAGGATGGCTTCATGAGGGGAAACTCCTGCTTGTCAAACCTCATTTTGTTATACAACAGGGTAATTTTTTGACTTCAGGCACTTTTTTGACTTCAGCAAAGCTTTTGATACCATCTCTCACAGGATCCTTCTAGACAAAGTGGCCCACACAGAACTGAATAACGTTATGTGATGATGTTATGAATGAGCAACTGGCTCACAGGTCAGGCACAAAAGGTTGTAGTGAATGGGGTGACATCAAACTGGCATCAGGTCACTGGTAGGGTTCCACAGGCTCATCTTAGGCCCAGGTCTCCTCATAAATACTTGGATTCAGAACTCAAGGATTAATAATTTTGCTGATGACACCAAATGGGAGGAGTTCGAAGGCAAGGAGGTCCCACAGCAACACCTCGGCAAATCAGAGAGATAGGCAAGCACCAACCATAGTGTCTTGGTTTGAAAGACAGGTGCCTCCCAAGGAAGGTGGGAACCTCCCTTGGAATGGAAAATGTGACCCCCTTCCCTCCAAATTATTATAACTCTGACATTATGCGGTTGTCAGACAAAGATATGGGAAAAAGAATAACAGTTCTTTACTAGTGTGTGTATACACACACATACATATATATAAGTATGTGTACACACATAAAAAAACAACAACAGTGGGAGTGACCACAAACAGAACCAGAAACCCAGTAACAGCCTTCTCTCGACTGTAGCACTGTCCCCTTTGGTGCAGTTACAGTCACAGCCAGCAGGGGCACTGTTGGCTCCCGGCTGGGCAGGGTACATGTGATGAGTACCCCACACCTGGAGGGGGCGCTGTGGCATGAGCGTGGTGGCACAGCCAACGGGAGAGATAGAAAGGGGCTTCCTTCACAAACTCATGGGAGGCAGCTGGTCCTGGTGCCCCTCTGGATGATGAAATGGACTGCAGCAGGAACCGCAGGAAGGGTATAACTGCAGGCAGGCAGAGGATATCAGGTTAAAGTGTAGCAAAAAGCTGGAAGCAGCAGCAGAAAGCAGCACTGGGCAACGGCAGGCGGCTTTCTGCAAGCAGCTGCCGCAAACACCCAGGAGACACTCCCTCCAGAAGTGCGAGGGGGTCAGGGTCCTGCGTTTTCCCCTGCAGCACCCGAGTGGATGGTGAGGGTCCCTTCCAGTGAGACTGGGTGTTGAAAAGGTCCAAGTTCAAAAGTCACACTTACCAGCAAAGGCTCACCCGTGGTAAGGAAAAGCAGTGCACGACAGAACTCTGCATTGACAATGAATTCTCCCCGCAGCAGCAGCCCAACTGTCTACCCTCCAAGAGTGAGAGAGAGCAAGGGACAAGCCCAGCCCCTCATTCCCCCGCCAAACTCTCACAGTATCTCTGCACTTGCTAAGAGAAGGCCCTCCAGCTAAGAGACTGCAGCCAGCTGCACCCCTTTCCCCCATTTTGGCCACATCCTTTGTTTCTTTCAAGTATCCATTGTTCTCGTCTCTTAGGCAACAAATGGGAAAAGAATTCCCTAAGGAAGAAAAAAATTGAACAAATCCTAACCTCCAACACATATGAAGTTTAACAAGGGCAAGTGCTGGATTCTGCACTTGGGACGGGTCAACCCAGGACATACAGACAGACTGCAGAATAAGACACTGGAGAGCAGCACCACGGGGTCCTGGCTGATGGCAAGTTGAATGTGAGTCAGCAGTGCCCACACAGACAGGAGGGCCTACTGTGTCCTGGGTACATCAGGCACTGCATCACCAGCTGGACAAAGGAGGGGATTGTCCTGCTCTGCTCTGCACTGCTGCAGCCTCACCTCGAGTCCTGTGTGCAGTTTTGGGTGCACAATATAAAAAAGATACAAAACTGTTAGAGAACCCCAAAAAGGGCAGCCAAGATAGTGAAGGGGCTGGAGGGAAAGCTGAACAAGGAGAAGATGAGGTCACCCGTCTGTTCAGCCTGGAGGAAACTGAGAGGAGTCCTCATTGCAGTATGAACATAGTGACAAGGGAAAGTAGAGAGGCAGGGGACTGATCTCTTCTGTGGTGACCAGTGACAGGACCCAAGGGAACAGTCAGTCAGGGGAGGCCTGGACTACGTACATATATAATTGAACAACATACATATATAGTTTATGTGTCTGTGTGTATATATATATATATCTATATTTTACACATAGTTATTCAGTGTGAAATAACACACACCAAACCATTAGTAAATTACTTCCCCCAAAATCCTGTGTTAGTTCTCAAGAGTGACAAAAACATGCACAACAGGTGATTTTAGCCTACCATCCATTTCTGGATATGAGCCCATTTTCTATCATATAAATGCTGAGAAAACTATAGAATGTAAAAAGAAAACCAAACAAAACATTTAAAATATAAGTTATAGTCACCACACAAGATTGGATTCCTAAACTGAACACTCAGAAAGATCTACAGAATAATAGCAGACATTAATAGCAATTCAAAATCTCAAACTGTGGTACAATGAGAACCGTATAAATTTGAGGAAAAAAATGTTCTGCATATTTCACGTATTACCACAGAAAAAAACCCCACAACAACCAAGTATGAGCATTACATGATTTGAGTGCAGTCATGACACATAATAAATTCTCAGTGTTTTACATGCGATGTCAAAACCTGAATTAAACTCAACAAATATGCGATAACTAGACTGCTGAAAACCTAGTTTCAAGGATTTTTTTTTTCCTCAAGATACGCAAACTTTCTTTAGGAGAAACATATGGAGCAACACACAACTG